TCACCAAGGAGCAAGCCTAAGGTTTGCTCGTTGTCATGCTCCTCAGCTGGCCAGGCCACCCAAGAAATAAAAGAATGCCCAAAAATCTACACAACACATGGAATGGAACCTAAAGAACAATGATACAATTATGCCAAAAGAGGACAAACATACCGGTGAAATTGCTGAGACTTTCATCTTCCAAAGCCATTAACTGCCTCTTTAGAAAAAACAAACAAGCTGGCCTCAGTAGCTGCACCTATGCAAAATAAGTAAGGGGGAAAGGAACAAGACTCCATTCCCAACTCCTGTAAACCAATTGGTAGTGGGTCAGGGGAGATCATTATTGTTAATCAAGAAAGGAAACCCCACCTCCAGGACAAACTAACTGAAATTTCTGAGCTACAAAGCAAATTAAAAAGAAATAAATTACTGGCTGTTAAATGATATTGTAAAAACACAAGTATAACTTCTATACATACTTCATTTACACATTTAAAAAAGCATGATGGCATAGAATATTACCATAAAATTTGGAAGCGATGGGTAAAAAAAACAATGGCTGTACAATATACCTGAAAATATACCATATGACACTCTATGGTATATACGTTTGCAAATGGTATGCATTTCTGGGACAATTTATTTGGAGCTAAAAAGCTCCAAAATGAGGAATAGTTCCATCAAATCCATGTCTCAAAATTCTACCTGTAAAAACTGAAATAGTCAGGTGTCTTATATGTCCTTAAGGTTATGGGCCAGCTAGGTCATCTGTCAGTGGGCGGGGCCTGCTCCTTTTCATGGTGTGTCAGGTTTGCCCCTATTCTCGGTGTACCATTATGGGCATTGCTAATGACGCAAGTTATGTCACTGGTAACACTTCCCAAGCATACTTTCCACCCAGTCCCAATTTCCCCATCATGATTGTTAGATGGTACCTGAATGGCAGATACATTTGTTTTCTTTGATAGCTCTTACCTTAGAAGACAAACATACCACATTCTAAAAGTGTTTCACATTGAAATTGTATTTTACTCCTTGTATTTTGTGACCTGTAACTAACAAAAATGAACTGAAATCCTAGATTTCTTCTTCTTATTATACATTCACTTTGAATTACTATTTAGCTGCACTAATTACATACACATGGTTATTGCCAAATCTATGAAATAAAATCTGTTGTTTTTTTTAATATTTATTTTTTTATGATAAATGAGAATTCATGTATGGATATGTCACATCAAATTTTCCTTTTTGTTTCCTTACAGTATATATGTGTGGGTGCAATAAATGAGAAAGGCGAGTTCATTTGTGTTGTATTAATGGATTATTTTGATGTATTTAATATATGCATGTCCATTTAGTGCTAATGCTTAGAGGTGCATATTGTCAGTCTCAGCCACAGCAATGAAATAGTTAAGCTCCCATTAGTTAGTGAGGCTGTGCCTGCTAAGGGAGGTTTAGGCATGTCAAAATTGCTAACCAGTGGTGGTGAGAACTTTCGAATGAGAGCAAGCCTAGTGGCAAGCATGGAACCGGCTATTTATTTCCTTCCTCTTACAGGTTTATGGAAAGAAAACTACCAAGTGTGATTAAGTCATGCCATTATTTTCACCATATACAGGTTTTTATAAAAAAAAAAAAAATTTTTTTGCTGACATGTGGAGTTAAGTACTCCTAAAGATATCTAATAATTTATTCAGCACAAACCTCCTGCAACGGTGATAACAGAATTCTATGGTGACTTGTAATGTCTATATAAAACCCAGTAGGGGTAATGTTATCTGATATATCACCTCATCAGCAGTCACAACGATGCAGTGCGCATAGAATGATTTGTGTAAATTATTAGGTGCATTTCTCTCTTTTTCAAAATTTCTTAAAAGTAGAATTTGTAATATTCTTACAGTAAAAATTGTCACGAATTGTAATCACCTAAAGAAAATTCTTTAAGGGGAAAATACAGCATAGCTTCAGATCGAAAGGATGTAAACATTGTAGAAAAATTTCATCCAATGTGCTCATCCTTATGCATTACAGCCAAAAAGATGCAAACAAACCATGCAGGCTTGATTAAAAAATATCTATACTGGTTGTGTCTACTAAGCATGAAAATGAAGAGAACTATTTATGTGATTGGGTGGACCACCAGTGGTTCCAGGACCAGAGAGGGCTATATCTCAACATATTACATATATATTCATAGATGGTTAATTGTTAATTATTACGATCATATGAATGCAAATTTGTCCTACTTTGTTTTTCGCAATGTAGGTAGGTACAATATTTTTCTTAACTGTAAGTTGATTTATCAAGCGTTTGGAGTATTAGAGATATTAACCACTTCCCTTTTTAGGCAAAATGGAAATCATCATTTATGTATGTATTTAATTATTATTTTTATTATTATCAGCAATTTCAAATGGATTTAAAGAATAGGAATATGAACAGATCAGTATAGTTCGTGGAGAAACAGGACTCTCGAATGCTTTGATATGGTGGATCTATTGACTTCTGGTGGATCTATATTATTACTGGCCAATGCTATACATCAGGGGTTCTCAATGTTAATCCTCAGGACCCCCTACCAGTCCAGGGTTTAGGGATTACCTGGGTGTGTCTAAGGTGTTTAGAAAAAGAAAAAAAAACACCTTAGAGTCTAAGGTGTTTTTTCCCTTTTTCTAAACACCTGAGACACACCCAGGTAATCCCCAAATCCTGGACTGGTAGGGGGTCCTGAGGACTGGGTTGAGAACCCCTGCTATACATGATGATGTTCCCTCATTATTATAGATCATATGACTTGCATGATTTGTAGTGTTTCCTCTTGGAAGAGATGGTGTCATGGTTTGCTTATTTTGATTGACCATTTTAATACACAGCAGTGTTTATGCAGGTTAATGATGCTAACCTCACATTGTGAAATAAGATGAGCAAATATTGAGAATATGCGAGGGTACAAATATCTACAAAAATGCAAGAACTCTCAAGGCATTATTTCTTCTAATGCAGGTTTGCTTTCATTTTCTACATGAAATTCTGACGTCTCTGTAAATGTCACTTTGAGGTTACTGCAACTTTTTAATGAAAAAAAAATAGTTTTGTTCATAAAACAAAGCTGTTAACACCAGTTGTCACTTTTGTAGCACTTCTCCCTTTCCCTTGCACAAAGTTCTTTCATTTTGAAGTCATGAGAGTTCCTATCATGGGTAAAAGGGGCTAGTCTCGACCAATAAAACTGGGCAAGTCTGCTGATAGTGTGCAAAGCTGTCCACAAAAAAAGAGGCCATTTACAATTTGTAGCAGTGTAGTCAGGTGCACAACTCCATTTTTAAGAAAAAAAGTCGCTATGTCCTTAAGATCACTTTATTTTACAAGAAGCTGTATTGTACA